AACGACCCAGGGTCGTAACAATCACCATCATCATCATGTTATAGTGATACAGTTAGTTTGTGTTAGTTTATTGGTTCAACTTTCTTCATTGTTTTTTGTGTATTCAGTCAAGCGGGTCAAAGTTACAAAGCACTTCACATCTTGCTTTTCTACAGATTACCTTACCACTGCACTGGTAAGGTAAAACTAGGCCGATTAATAACGTATTTAGGTCAGCCTTAGTAAGGCTACATTAAATGCATATATTCCTGTCTATTGCTTTCATTTGTATTTAATGTTATTGTTTCCACACATTTCACAATTTGGGATGAATGAGGTATCTATCTATATATCTATATATCCATCTATCCATCCATCTATATATCCATATATCCATCCATCCGTCTGTCTGTCTGTCTGTCTGTCTGTCTGTCTGTCTGTCTACAGATAGATAGATAGATAGATAGATAGATAGATAGATAGATAGATAGATAGATAGATAGATAGATAGCTCTAACATGTAGGGTTTCCCATTAATGCTATGGGCTACAGTGAAATGTTCTACTGCAACACTCCCCACACACTCATACAGCTACACCCGCGACTGTCACGGCCCGTCCACACAGCAGCGTTAAAAAAATCTTGGAGGTGGGCGTATCTGAAGCTTGGGGATTTTTTGCGAGCAAGGCACCAACAACCAATCACATGAATCTCCCGCCCCCGACATACGAAGCAAAAAAGTTTGAAGTAAACTGGATATAAACTCCCCAAACAGGCGAAAACATACCGCTGTCTCTGCCACCTCCCTCCATGCCTGGCTCCTCCGGTTTATATCCCGGTAGGTAAATAGGGACTGGTCATAAAGCACCGGGTGATTCCCTACCGCTAATTTCTCCTCCATTTTTTGGAATATGAGGAAATGACCTGCGGTATGTCTCTCCCAGCATAGACGCGGTTTGATTGGCTAGCGCTTGAACTGTCAGATTTGCATACACGGGATTTTATTGGCTGACGCTTCCACCTCAGCTTCAAAAGTTGAACATTGCTCAACTTTGAATCCTGAAAATCCTGAAAATCTCCGCTCGCCTGCCCACAATGCAGTTTGGCGAAAAGTGAGGCAAAGTGACGTCACCCCATTCAAAGTGAATGGGCAGAAGCGTTTCAAGATTTTTTTAACGCTGCTGTGTGGACGGTCCGTTACAATGAAGGCTCGATAATCAGCTCATATCGGAGAAGATTTTTTTTTTAATTATTATTGAAGTTAAAAGCATCAATCTGGTGCACTTTTGAGAGCAAAATGAAGAGATCTATGGATACATCTCTCAACACCCATGAAACAGAACTGTAAACAGATGTACTTTTTCTTTATGGATATTTTACTAATCACTCCCCTTTTAAAACTGTATTCTTGTTTTACTGTCATATAGTATTTCATACCTGTTTTTCATTTATTCTCTTATTGTTTTATAGCCTAACTATAATGATCATATAAACTGTGCCTCGGAAATACTTGTTTACATAAATGGTGATCAAACTGTTTTGAGACCCACTGATAACTTAGACTAAAGTGAACTATCTAAACACTGAGAGAGTCCTTTAGCTCACTGAGCTGACGTTATCTGACGGGAGAGGACTTTCCTTTCACTTAATTGTAGAAACAGCTTCTAATATCGGTTAGCGCAGCAACAACAATCTTGCTCTCTCTCTCGCTCGCTCACTCGTGCCACACAGGCACACACGGAGCCGAGCTTGAATGAAACACCCAGAAGTAGGCTACTTGTACTGTACTGTAGCAGCATATCATTTTCGAATCAATCATTTTTTAAATTACGAATTTCACATATATAAAAAAAACGGACAGACAGACGGACAGACAGACGGACGGACGGACAGACAGACGGACAGACAGACATATAGATAGATACTTCATTCATCCCAAATTGTGAAATGTGTGGAAACAAGTATAAACATAATAACATGAAATACAAATGAAAGCAATAGACAGGAATATATGCATATACAGTAGAAAGGACACGATGAATATTATAACATTTAATGTAGCCTTACTATGAAGGCTGACCTAAATACGGTGCTTTTCTACAGATGACCTTATCTGCACTGGTAAGGTAAAACTACGCCGATTAATAAGATGTGAAGTGCTTTGTAACTTTGACCCGCTTGACTGAATACATGCTGAATACACAAAAAACAATGAAGAAAGAGTTTCCTCTGGGCTGCTTCGCTGCCAGCTGCTCCCCCGGGACCCGAAAGTGGCGTATAGCCTGTACTTCAACATCAATGCATACGGATGTGCTCGATATATGCTGTATTGAACCAATAAACTAACACAAACTAACTGTATCACTATAACATGATGATGATGGTGATGAATAATGGGTCAGTGTATGTTTTGGTCATTGGATTTTCTTTTCACAAATGGAAATTCAAAAACAAAAAACGACTGGATATTTGATTTTCGTTTTCAAATTGAAAAACCAAAATTGAAATACAAGGCGTTTTTCTTTATCACGGTCAAAAAGGGATTTACTAAACTTAAAAAACGGGATGATTTTCATTTTCTACTTCTCAAAACAAAAAATAAAATCACTAGAAAACGGAAACAAAAAAAAACCCCGTTTTTTCATATTCTGCTACCGGAAGTTGTCTTTCAAAATAAGAGCGCAGATGAGGACGGTCAATCCGTGTATCTACGGTCCATTTGTTTTCACAACGAAAACAGCCAAGACACATATTGAGCCCAGAAAATGAATGTTATTAAGGGCTGTAAATATAATAGGCCTATGTCTAAAATGGACAACATTGTTAGGAGATTTAACCTATACAGCGATTCTGCACTGCGGTCAGCTCAGCCGTCTCTCGAGTTTGTTATCATTTTTTCTGCCATTAGTTCTTCGTGAGATCGATCCTGTTGGACTCAGTAGGCTAGTAGTGAAACTACTCCCACAAGTACTATGAAGTACTTACTGTGTACTTTTTGAGAAATCCTCTGTCAATGTCCCCTCCCGAGTACAAGAATGCATGTTTTTCTTTTAATAAGCGTTAAAAAACATTTCTTCCTGAGACTGATATTGTTGGACAGAGTATTTTAAGAGGATGGTATGATATCAGCAATACTTCCAGTCAGTACTCCGGCAGCAGCATTTTTACACCTTGGAAAGTCTTTAGAGACTGGCCTGGATAGCTGGTCACAAATATCCTTCAGCAAAGTAACACACTCTGTCACTCTGGTTGCTGCTGTCCAGTGGCGTCGCCTGGCCTGGGCATCCGGGGATTGACCGTCCTCATCTGCGCTCTTATTTTGAAAGACAACTTCCGGTGGCAGAATATGAAAAAACGGGGTTTTTTTTTGTTTCTGTTTTCTAGTGATTTTATTTTTTGTTTTGAGAAGTAGAAAATGTAAATCATCCCGTTTTTTAAGTTTAGTAAATCCCTTTTTGACCATGTTAAAGAAAAACGCCTTGTATTTCAATTTTGGTTTTTCAATTTGAAAACGAAAATCAAATATCCAGTCGTTTTTTGTTTTTGAATTTCCATTTGTGAAAAGAAAATCCAATGACCACAACATACACTGACCAGAATGCATCTAACGTTCCGTTGTTCATTATAATACAAAAACAGAGGGTGTTTCTCAATCGCGAGTAAAGCTGCTTCCGAGCCACTATTTCAAGCATACTACGTCATCGAGTGCCGCCGAAGTACTGTTCCAATCTCCAGTATACTTGGAAATCTACCGAGCCCGGCGTACTCCGTTTGGAGAAATATCGAGTGTGCACATGAGTAGACTTCGCGGCCTTAAAATCCCCACAATGCTTTGCGCACGGACCAATTTCCCCAAATCTGTGGCGGAAGATGTAAGGCGGGGCCTCTCATATGACGCACACCTGCACACTTGCTAGCCTGTTCCACTCTTTGGGTGTTTCTCAATCGCGAGTAAAGCTGCTTCAGAGCCACTATTTCAAGCATACTACGTCATCGAGTGCCGTCGAAGTACTGTTCCAATCTCCAGTATACTTGGAAATCTACCGAGCCCGGCGTACTCCGTTTGGAGAAATATCGAGTCTGCACATGAGTAGACTTCACGGTCTTAAAATCCCCACAATGCTTTGCGCACGGACCAATTTCCCCAAATCTGTGGCGGAAGATGTAAGGCGGGGCCTCTCATATGACGCACACCTGCACACTTGCTAGCCTGTTCCACTCTTCGTTTTCCGAATGCCAGGAAGTATTCTTGACTCGCTTCTGAAGCAAGATGCTCGGCAGACATGTGCTACCAAGCAAGCGTACTCGCGATTGAGAAACACCCTTTGTTTTCCGAATGGCAGGAAGTATTCTTGACTCGCTTCTGAAGCAAGATGCTCGGCAGACATGTGCTACCAAGCAAGCGTACTCGCGATTGAGAAACACCCAGAGTATTAAACAAACCATCATGCTCTTACTTTGAAATCATGCGGAAATGTCGTCATCAGCAGGCCATCACGTGGTTTCCGAAAACAACCGAGTGACACGAGTAGATTTTTTGCCGAGACCGGCGGAAAGTATGTCTCAAAATTCCGTGTGTGTAAAAAGACGATCCACAAGCAGAGATTTGAGATCCACAAGCAGAGATTTGAGATCCGCAAGCAGAGATTTGAGATCCACAAGCGCATTTTTGGTTGACAAATACAAAATGGATTCACAAATGCCTGATCGAAAGTTGTAAATGTTAAAGAGATATTCACAGATCTTTTTTTTATTTGTGAAAATATTTAGCGTATTTGCAGATCCGTTTTACATTTGCAAATTTATTTGTGAGTTAGCAATTTATTATTTTTTTTCCTTTTTATTTTTTTTTAAATCTCTACTAATTTAAGTGCAGTTTATGACTTGAGGTGCAGGTGTGGAAAACCTTCATCATCAAAGTGTCTACTCTGTAACAGATACATTCATTTGGTTTATGACACTTGTCCGCCTACTTTCTGTTCCTGATTCTGTTCTCCGCTCATTTGATGTTGTTATAAACTCTGACATGATATAGGCTAACAGACCATATTTTCACCATAAGAAGAGTCATTGTTTCACATAAATCCATGTTGCTGGATTGCAGAACCAACAACATTTGCAGTATTTCTGATTCTACCCTCCACCCACATTTAAGAGGGAGGTCTCTTAAAATTATGGGTGGTTAAGGACTTCCAAGGAGGGACATTTCTTTAGAAAACATTCAACTCTCAAGGTAAGTTACTCTGATCTTTAAGAAAAGGTATATAAAATAACCTTTCCTTTTTCCTGCATTTCACAAAGTTGGTTATCATTAGTTAATAGTCGGATGTACTGCTTTTTTTATGAATTTATCAAAAAGTAACTTATTCCGCATATGTAGTTGCTGACATATAGAAGTACAAAACTTTGTTTTCTGTTTAAATCAAAGTACAGGAAACAGCTTGTGCATGTTGCCAATTGATTTGTCGCCCAATATAATTTAGAATGGGTGCATGTTGACTGCTCTTAGGGAAACATTTAAAATATGATAAAGAAATACATATTTTTTGTTTTTGGCTGAGATGATATTGCTTTTCTGAAGACACACCCTAATGTGGCCTACACGTTTTCTGCTGCCTCTAGAGTTCCTATCTTTGTCAGCTTTACTACAGAACAGCACACAGACTGTCGTCAGGGAGGTTTTTAAAGGACAGACAACTCTCAGCTTCATCAGGTGAGAACTCTTATGCCTAATAACAGTGCATCCAATAAATGATGTGTTACTACATTTACGTTAAAAATGCCATTTTTAATGTTTATAGTACACTGCAAGAAATCAAGAATAATGCAGCTGAGCAATACTGGGTGTTTGCTTCATATAGACCCAACCACAGGATGTTTCACTATAATATATCATCATCATTGTTTGTTCGAGCTTGTTGGACTTCAATGAATAAATAAATAACTAGAAAAGACCCAGCCTATTCGTATATGAAATTAACACATTTTTACTTTTGATGTGAACATTTAATAAAGTGTATAATGCCAATATTTACTATTTAAAGGAATGGCAGAAGATGTGTTGTTTGAAGAAGTTTCACATACCTGCGTTGTAATTTGCATATGGCATTATTAGGTATGATTTATGATTTCATTCTTTGTGTAGTTATATTTTTGTTTAAACATTTTACAGTGTATCATACCACAAAAACCTCAGAGAAGTATGGAAAAAGACAGAAGGTTGATGATATACTGTCTGCTTTTGGCAGGTAATATAAGTCACTCAACTCTTTGTTTAAAATCTCTTTCATTCATGCACCCCACTTATATAAAATACGTCAGAGAGACCTCCTAGAAATAATTCATTATTGTGTTACTTCCATAACTGTCTTTCAGCTATAAGCATCCCTGTGTTTACTGGAGAATGGAAAGCCAATGTTGTAAAAGAGCTCAAGGCACTGGTCACATCCTGTGTTGTTGTTCCCTGTTCATTCACCCATCCTGGACCAAACCTGCCTACCTCCAAACTCAGGGGGATCTGGCATCAGTCCAATCATCGAGGCAATCTCATTTACGACGAGGATGAAACAAGTATCTCGGAAAACTTCAGGGGACGGACAAAGTTGTTGGGACATCTGGGTCAGAAAAACTGCACCTTAGAAATTTCTGAGATCAAAGATCACGACAACGGCCCTTTTTGTTTCCGAATCGAATTAGCACAAACTTCCTCTCCTGAAAGGTTCTCCTTTCTGGAGGACTGTGTTGAGTTCAAAATGCTCCGTATGTCACCACCTTTACCATATTTCAGACATTTATAAAGATCCATTTCCATATGTTCTCTCTAATCTCTGACTTTTTTCCTTTACAGCTGATCCCCCGAAACCTGAACTACATCACCTAAAGACGGCCTATCAAGGACGTCCCTACACTGTCACCTGTTCCGTCAAACACACCTGCCCCTACGACCCACCTAAACTCACATGGAGCAGGGCCACTGCAGATGTGCCGAATGTTGTCCACAAAGAAACACATTTGGGCAACTGGGAGGTTGAGTCCATCCTGACCATCCTTCCTGAGGAGAAGGACGACCACACTGATATCACCTGCACCGCCAACTTCAACGGACCGAAGACGTCCTCTGCAACGTTGACACTCTATGTAAAACGTGAGATCTTGTAAATATCGAGGTTGTTCTGCATTTATCAACTGAATGTTGTCCTCTTTCCACGTGGGAAAGAGAAAGGTGGCATAACATTGGATCCGTCTATTTGCAGGTTCAAAAAACTATAACCACATCATCATTCCCACAGTGGTGGCGATTGGAACCGCTGTGATCTTTGCAGTCTTCTGCGTTTTTATGGTGAAGAGATACAAGTGAGTATTGCAGTACACTGACAAATAACAGATAAGTAATTACATTTTGTATTTAAAACATTCTTGCTCATGTTTCTATGCTTAATGTTCACTGTATGTGCTCCTCAATAATATTACATTGTTTTCTATCGACTCAAGGAGACAAATTGCAGCGCTCCAAAGAGGGGATGGAAGGTGAATATATTTTAAAGCAGATCCATTACATACAGCTACATTTATATCACAAATTTCACTTGGTCCTTCATTCTCCTAATGGAATTTTCTGTTTAATATCTAGCGTGTGGAATCGGCTGTCCAGGATGTCTCGCAGGTGAGAAAAAAGTGGTTTATAATTATGTGGATTTTTTATCAAAAACTGTTATCACAGGAACTTTTAATTTGTGCTGATGAGTCATTTTATTGGTACAATTTTCAGGATTCGTTCTGATGGCCCAGGACCATCTCGTTCTGATCAAAGGTCTTTATTTCAATAAACACTCCACATTATTAAAGTTCTGTTATCTCCACCCTGTAAAACTGGGTGGTTGGCATTACTGTAATTTGCATGTTTTGCAGAAGTTGAGGGCTTTTTCAGCATCCTTGATAAGATCTATGCTTTTATTTATATGCCTGACAACATTTGCATAGTTTCTGTTCTTCTTTTTTGTGCAGAAGGTCTATGTTGAGCAGATATTTGAGGTAAGACATAAAAACCATTTCTGTAACATGCCTGCCTCCACTGATAAGTTGATAAGCCTTCACTTCACTTTTTTCTTCACTACCGCATTTCTATTAGAATCTGTGTTTTATTTTCTGATTCAAGTTTACATTTTGCAATTTGTTTCTATAACAGAAGGCCTAAAGCAGACACAGTGGATATGAGTCATATGTAAGTGTGTTAAACATAACATAATTAATTAACTGATCATTGTTTTCTGAACTCTGTTGTGACGTGAATTTTAATCCTCAGTCCAAAAAATGTGAATTCCAAATCCTGTGATGACCAGAAAGTCTCCAAACCTCGTTTCCCGTCCCCCAAAAGGTACTTGGCTATTGATCCTGAGCAGTTGATTAAATGATTCATATATATACAGTCATTATTTAGTTCAATGTCTGATGTCATTCTTTTTCTGTCTTCTTTTTATCACTCCTCAGCCAGCCAAAATCCTACAATCACCAAGAGGAGGTACTATTAAACAATTATTGTTCACAAGAATTACATACAGCATCAACATCTGTGACAATAATAACCTAAATCTCTGACAGGACTTTGATGGTGGTGACGTTTACGAGAACAGTGCGGACCTCAGCATCTATGGAAACATCTGAAACAAGCACGGAGAAAAACAAATCACTCCCATAGTGATCATTCGTATTAAGAGCATCTGATGACCACAGTCATATTATACATGATTATTGTGGCATCCTCTTCTATCCGGCAAAATGTATAGAATTCTGTTTGCTAATTCGATCATTATAATAGGATAAAAATAAAATGCATTTTGAATATCGTTGATCTTTTCTGGGCAAAAAGTTGTCAAACAATTGTTTTAGATCATTTAAATACATCATGCACTTTCATTCACTCAAATATGCCTGCTGTATTTGACATGAGAAGAAATGGGAAATTCTAAGGATTTATAAGGGTGAAAGTCATACATAGGAAAAATCATAACTTAAAAAGAAAAAACAAGTTAAATACAGGCAAAATGCTTATATATACCTATATACTGTATATAGAGTTGGTCAATATATATAACAGTTTGTTCTCCTTTTGGTTAGGAAATTGTACCCTCCGCCCACTTTTAAGGGGGAGGTTTCTTGAAATGATCAGTGGTTAGGGACTTTAAAAGGTGGCTAGACTCTTTATTAACATTCAACTCTGGAGGTAAGTCCTTCTGATCTTTAAGAAATTGTATAAGATGCTTTCCTTTGCTGCATTTTACAATTTAGATCAGTATTATATCTTACTCAAAAGTACTAAGTTTCTAAATAATGTATGAGAAAACCTTGATATATCTTTTGTAATAATTTGTATGGCTTCTTCAAAATGTATTTTCTGGCTGAAATTAGGAGCGACTTTGATTTATGTTTGACATTATTTAAGTAGAGGGTACAGCTTGTTAAAATGTCTGTTTACAATTTACAATTTTGTCTCATTAGTACATTGTGATTCCTGTGGGGGGAACGTATTTTTTTTCTAAACACCAAAAAGCATTTCATTAGGGATAATTTTGCTTTGGAACCTGGTTTCGAGAATATTATTCTCTGAAGAAAGACTATCTTGTTGAGCGTTGTAATACTGCTGCATGTTAACAAGCTGGCCTACATATAGAACAATAAAAACCTTTACTGAATAAGAGAAGTTATTACCTCAGTATATTAAAATATTTACTTCTTGCTTAGAAACAACATGATGTGATTTGTTTTTTTTGTTGCGTTTGATATTATTTAACTATGGCAAACCATGTATCTCATTGAGTAATAAGAATGGATTAATATTTTGTCTCCAAGTTTCTTTTTCAGTGTATATTATTATGTTTTCTTTGTTTAATATTAAAAATGAATCCATAAACAGCTGACAGAGATAGGAGAGATTTTTTCAGTAAATGCACATGATGGATCAGAGAGACACTGGTATTATGTTACCATTCAATTAATTACATTACATGACACTTGAACAGACACCCAGGCTTTAACATGCAGGTTTTGTTGTTGTTGTTTTTGTCTATCCAAAATCCTGTTCTGTTGAAAAGCCTTAAGGTTGGCAGAGAAAATGGGCGAGGCCCTTAAAAGATCCTCACGCATCACCGGAGATTCACCATCTTGAATTTTCTTGAGCTTGAAACATATAATACAGGAAATTGTGCTTCGCGTCTACTGCCTCTATTTCGATGAGGTTTTTGAGAACTATGATTCCCATCTAAGTTCTTCAACTTTATGGAAATGAAATGCTAAATTGCTTAAGAATCGCTTTTACATTTGAGCCTGGGCAGTGGCGGCCGGTCCATAGGGGCGCTAGGGGCGCCGCCCCACCTCTTCCCATATTGAAAAAAAATAAATAAATAAATAAATTAAATTAAAATAAAAAAAAAAAAATATGTTTAAAAAAAAATATATATTTTTATTTTTATTTTTAATGAACAAGGTAAATATTATATAATTGGTATCAGTAAAATGTATAATCTACAATAAAATCTCGTTTAAAATTGTGTTACGATGTCTAAAGTTACTGATAAGTCACATGTTTCCTGCCTGGCCTTGCCCATGCACCTTCTCTCGTCTGGGCGCTAAGAGAGGAGCCTTCAACCAGTGCAGCAGCAGCCACTAGCAGCTGACTGTTGCTATCTGTAACGTGTAAACTATGCCGCGAAAATATAATTTCAGCCAATCAGCGTCGTCAAAGATGACGGTCACCGGGCGCCAATGTCAGCGCCCAGTGCAGTCTGTGAGTAGTTTGGACAGTGACTCGTATCCGGTTGACGCAGTAGTTGATGAGGATGGCTTCGTGTGCAGGTGGAGTCTCCGGACCTCGGTCCCCGCCTAATTCTGTTCAAGAGCTAATCTCCAATCCTTTCGAAAGGAGAAGTTTGGCAGATAAATTGTTGCTTAAAGACCTTGGACCGGACCAACCCGATTTGAATATATCGCAGCAATCTCGTGAAAAAGACAAAACGTATACACGAGGCTTCGCAAGTAGCTGGTACACAAAAAAGGCTTGGCTAGCTGGATGCAAACAGGTAAATGCTGTCTTGTTTCCCATGCTTGGATATCACTTTATATGTAGAGAGGAGGTTTCCCATGGTTGTTAGAAGTTTATTAATAAGTGGGCATTTATCACAGAAGTGATTGTTCTGTCTCCACGTTTGTTGCATTGTCTGTGATGTATTTTCCAACGGTTATAGCTCCTGTTCTGTCCCAGCAACACTACACGGTTTGCAGCTCCACCACATTTTTGGTTTATCTTCGGTGTCGCTTAAAATCTGCTTCCCATCGGACTAAAACCTCCACGTAATCTGAAGACAGATACTTGAAGTTATTTAAACCTTTTGCAAACTTTATGTTCTTTTTGCTCTAGCCTTGCCAGTTACATTGTACATAACACATATATTATCATTATGCTAAGTGGTTGTTCGTGTTAGACGATGTAGCTTTTTCATTTCTGAGTTATTGCTATATGTAAATAAGCCTGTTTGTAAATAATCCTCAGAGAAACAAAGAAAAAACACAATTTATGACATTTTGTGCTGTGGTTATTTTTTTTAAATTGCATTTATTCACAGTTCAGTTTGAAATGCTGTAGTGACTTGTATTGAACCACTTAAATATTTATAATTAATGCTACTGTAAAGATGCTATTAATTTTATATCTCACATGCAGTTCACTGTAAAGCTACTTGGTGAAGGTGTTGGTTCATAAAACATGAACAGTTTTAAGAAAGAAAAAAACAGACTAGTTCTGAGAACACAAATTCCTGGTAAAGTAGTAGATGTTCAGGTTGATAAATAATATTTTCCACACTGAAGATTATGGAGGTATTGATCAGTCTTCTCATATTTTTAAGCCTCGATTTCTCCTTTCCCCCCCCCCTCTAACATCACCAGAAGTCATCATTTAAGGGGTCATTTCTCGAAAAAAAAATTTGGGGGGAAACCCCCCGGACCCCCCGGACAGGTCACTTACGGTACGTCAAGAGCCCCACCAAAAAAAAAGACCACCGGCCGCCACTGAGCCTGGGTCACTCGTTTAATGACATATCTGATGTGCCCTATGTATTAATATGAAAAAGATGGACAGATGTATTCTCTTTTTCAATGCATAATACTAAAAGATTATTTCACATATTTAGGTGTGTCTTAACATTAACAAGATGTCTGGGTTCCGACATTCTCTTCTGAGCTTCGGTATTTTAGGTAATAAAATAAATTCAGTCTTTTAAATTTTTTTCAAAATGTCATAATCTTAAAAAAAATTGAAATGTCCCTTTTGTATATTATATCTCTTGCAGGATACATCTTTTTCCAGGGTTTGTGGGCTTGGCATGTAAAGATACCGAGACATATCAAAGGATTGTCGGGTTCCTGCCTTGTCATCCCTTGCACCTTTGACTACTACGAGTATCCGCCTCTAAGACCAGATCGTGTGGTTTGGTATCAGTACAAAAACAAGGGATACCCGTTAGTTTATGACAATTGGTACAAAGATGACGTCATTAGCATATTCAAAGAAAGAACGCGTGTATTTACTTCTGAATACAAGAAGACATGCACTCTTGAAATCTATCCAGTAAATCAGTATCACCACCAACAGAAGCTTTACCCATGGGTAGATCCAGAGAATGTTGGGAAAACCACCTTCAGATTCTATGATACAACTGTGACAATTGAAGTAGTGGGTAAGTATTAAGTTTGCTTTAAAAAAGATTAGTTTTACATAATGTGTATCTAAATGTATTATTCTTATCATTTCTTTTGTAAAGACTGGGCAGCAACACCGCATATTATGATCTCTGGAAGCATGAAGGTTGGACAGTCTGTGACCGTGCAGTGCTATGTTTATCACACCTGTTCCACTTCTCCACCAACTCTAAGTCTCAACATCCCACTGCAAAGCCACAGTCTAGCTCATGTCTCCATGACTGATGGCACATCCAGAACCACCTTGACCACCACATTGAACATAGAGAGGGACCACCAAACTGTGGAGTGCTCCGTCCGACACCTGGGCGGTCAAACTGCAAGAGCTACTAAACCTTTGACTGCAGAATGTACGTTATGAATATGCAAGATTTAAAGTTTTTTTTATGTTGGCCTTGAACATTTTAACAATTACCATTTGTTTCTCAGGCTCCTTTCTCCCCTTGATTATCAGTCAGACATCAGACGAATTTCTTGAGGGACAGCCAAGAACAGTCACCTGCACTGCCTCATACACGTGCTCAAAACATTTACCAACTCTCTCATGGAACTATGGTAACATGCCAACCACAACTGAAAACAGCAAGAGTGGAATCGCTAGCTGGAGGACTGTCTCCACTCTGACATTCACAGCATCATCCAACGACCACGGACAATCTCTGACATGCGATGCACAATTTATCGGGGGGCAGATGCAGGAAAAGAGCATCACCTTACGTGTGAAGAGTGAGTAGAAATGATAACTGTCTTTTCATCCGTCATCTGCACAAATGTCTGCAGTTGCACTTAAATTTAATTCATTGATAAAATTGAATTTACTCATCACATTTTGTGAACTCTCGATAACTACTGCAGTGTCTATATTTATCTCTGTCACTATAAAAAATAACGATCCTAGAAAATTAAATATCACTTGACCATCAAATCTAACATTGATTGTTTCCAGCATGGTATGTAAAAAGATAGTTGAAGGGAATATCAATAGATAAAGAAGGAAGAACTTAGAAAATAATATAGAGAAATAAAAGTTATGTTATAGTCATAGATTACCTTTAAAAAAAAAAAAAAAGATCTTAGCAGGAAGCCAACTCATAATTTGAATTCTTTATAAAGTGAATTTCAACTGTCAAATGTTTCCTCTTTTGACAGGAAACATGCTCTCTCTCGGCTGGTCTTTCACCACGCCCAACAGCATCACTGGCATGAAAGGTTCATGTATTGTCATTCCTTGCACGTTCACCTACAGTATCTCCCAGCCTGCAGACCTCAAAGTTGCATGGTACTTGTACCAAAGCAATGGGTACCCGTCTGTATATGAAGAAAGAAGGAATGTTATTAGTAAATATCAGGGCATAACCAGCTTGATTCCATCTGTGCGGGAAGGGAATTGTAGTCTTAAGATCGAGAGGCTTGACATGTCGCACAACCAGGACCGACTTTACCCATGGGTAGACAAGAACCCCATCACCTCGTACCACAGCCTGGGTCACTCGTTTAATGACAAAACCTGTCAACTTATTGTTTCAGGTAACTATCTGGATACTTTCTCTCCCTGTTTAATCCATGTTATCCGATCTCCAATGAAGGCAGTTGTCCAAATATCTTCTTGATTTGATATCATAGATCAAGCACAGGAACCGCAGTTGAGCATCATTGGTATCCCCAGGGTGGGAGAGGAGAGCACAATAACCTGCAGTGTGCGCCATACATGTGCCTCTGCTCCCCCCGAACTGACCCTAAATGGCATACCTGGAACAGATGTCATTAGGGACACTCTAGTATCTGATGGGGTTTGGGAAAGGACTGTTGAGCATACTTGGGCTGTAAAAGAGGAAGATCAGAGTGTGAGGTGTACTGTGAGGTACCGTGGTGGCCAGGAGGCCACAAGTGAACTCAAGCTAAATGTTGAATGTGAGTACAATGTGAGACCATGTGTTAAGTGCTTACAACATCTTTATTGTTAAGACTGACTTTGACCTTTCTGCCCAGGTCCATATGACCAAATCACAATGACTGAGCGGCTAATCGAGGCGACGGAGGGTGTGGCAAAGAGTGTCATCTGTTCTGTTTCCTACAAGTGTAGGAAAAATAAACCGAGCATTGGGTGGAATTTTGAAGACTTGCAGAGTAATCTCAAAACCAAATTCATCTCCAACAAGACCTATGAGACTTTGTCAAATCTAACCTTTATTGGTTCTCTTGGGGACAATGGTAAACCTCTGACCTGCACTGCTTCATTTCTTACTGGGGAGACTTCAGAATCTGCCATCCTTCACATAAAAAGTGAGGTTTTACATTTCATAAACAGCAGTCACTTATAAAGTAGATGTTTCAATCTTCTCCTATAACCATAAAGCAATTAAGAATATACCATTTGAAGAACGTTTAATTGATGATTGTCTGTTTGTTTTGTTTTTCTTTCCAGAATATGAGAGACCAATTGATCCACATGAAAATGACAGTGGGTGTACTTCTCCATTCTCCTTTTAAAAAATGTATCTTGCTCCCATTTTATGTCACAAGCAGACTGATTTCCACAGGCATCCCATCATGGCTTGTTTCTCTCTTTGCAGCGCTCTACGTTCAGGCTGTAAAAGTCCCTTTCAGATTCAATGCACTGACCCGCTCCTGCGTGGTGATTCCCTGCAGCCTCCCGTACCAAGATGTGCCTATCACACGTGGCATCTGGTCCAAAAACTGGGGATACCATCTACCATAATGCCCAGAGCAAAGTGATTGACCATTTCAAGGGCCGCACCAAAATGAAAAAAGATCTGAGTCACGGAGACTGCTCATTAGAGATTGATGACATCAAGCCTTTTGACAACGGGCCCTTTTGTTTCCATGCAGAGATAGGACATGGGAGACACAAATACAACAATAGCTGTGTATTTATTGTTATGAAAGGTTTGGAATTAATACTCATTCTTCAGATTATTTAAATATCCCAAGCTATGTTTGTGTTTGCCTTCTAATCGACAAAAGTAATCTGCTCTGTGTTTCATGTGCTCAGCATCCCCAGAAAAACCTGTGATGACCCCCGTTCCAGCAGAAGTGGATGCAGGCTTAACAATTAATGTCTCGTGCTCTGTGGCCCACACATGTGCGTCACATCCTCCAGTTTTCTCATGGAGTGTCCCCAACATCACCAGCAAGGTCCAAAGCACCATGACGACACCGGGCGTGTGGGAGACGACCTCCACAATAACCTTCATAGCTGCTGGAGGAGACGGAGTCATGAGCCTTACCTGTACCGCCGTCTACTGGCTTGACAAGCAACGAGCCAGCACAGTCCAGCTGACTGTGAAAGGTTAGACCCACAAAGACCACTTGTTCAGTTTATATCTACCAGTTCTACCGTACATTCAGTTGTATAATCTACTTAATACATTTTTATGAGCTTCAAATGTTCCTACATCCACAGGATCAAGTTCTTGGCCATTGATCGCCGCAGTGTCAGCTATATCCCTGATTGTAATCATCATAGCTGCAGTGATTGGAGTCGTCTTCTATAGGAGAAGGTAAATAAATCACAGTCAGTGGTGGAGACACTTTTTTCGACAGACATACAGACTACTATCAAAAATGTCAGGACAATTTCAATCAACACCTGTATATTCTATCATACAGGATGTAGACAACATGAATGCAACAATATAAACCTTCTCAATTCAATGATTCAGACAGACACACACACACACACACACACACACACACACACACACACACACACACACACACACACACACACAAAAACAACAACTCGGTGACAGAACTACGAAAGTCTACCTCTTTAGCTGCTCCACCGTTTTTGATCCATGTTTGAGCTAAATATAATGATACCTCTGGCCTTCGTCCACAATCCCGCTATCCAACGTGACACGACTCACATCAACATGAACTCATCCAAACATTTTCAATTGTCATCATGGTCACAAGAAACACATTAAATTGTTAATCTCCTTCACTAACACTGGCTGTGCCCATCACAGGATAGTCATGCAATGATAGTACATTTTGCTAGCTAGCTACACATTTTAAAATAAAAGTGTAGTAGAGTAGTAGGCTAAAATTTGAATGTCAATGTAAGAATGCTGTGACCTCTAGTGGCAGTAGTAATCATGACGAAAAAAACGGAAGAAGAAGTCAGGCTATGAAGACCGGTAAAATTGGCTTAAGAGTGGTTGGGAGTTGAGTATGGATGGGTCACACAAATAGGACTTCCACGTTGTGAATCAGTCAACAATGAATTATTTCAACTGGCATAGCCTTTGTAAGCAAAAAAGCTTAACATAAGTGACATTTACCCAGACCATGATCTTTTCCCTAAACCTACCACGTAGTTTTGGCACCTTAACATCAGGCACATTTTTAACAGCATGAGAATGATGATACAAAAAACTAATAACAGCCCTGTTATGGCCTGCTAACATGCACATGGCGGGCAGAAGAGTTTTATCAGTGCTATTTAATGTACTGTTTTTTTGTTGTATTATGTAAAAGTCATAATTTACAAGTAGAGTTATGAATGGCATTTTTTCCTAACCAACAGAAGGCGTCCCGACAACTCACTGACACCACCGCCTGGGCCTGAGAAAAGGTAAACCTAAAGCATAATAATGAGAATTTGAGGAACACTCACAACCAAGATATGCCCATCTATTACAAACTGTTACTATATAAGACCAAAGTAAAAAAGAAAAGTTCATTTGTAATGCTAGCTTTGTACACTTGCATGAATATGATAGGACTTTACTGATAGCCACACAGCTGCTGTGAGAGCCAATTATTATAGCATGGATATAACAGCTGTGGCCAATCAGGACTTCAGTGCTCTGCTTGTTTGTTTGTCATATATACATTCTATATTTCCACCAAATGTAAATCTGTCTTTGTCAAACTTTCTCAGGAGATCTCTATGGGATAGAGTATCCAGGTAAGCTTTATCTAAATGAACCGAAAACCAATCTCTGTCTCATATCCGGCTCAAAATCACTGATGAGCTTTTTTTTGTCTTTTCTAAACAAATGTCCAGGAGAAACCGTGAGAACAGGGAGAGACCTCCCAGGCCGGAAAAACGGTATGTCAGCCGGTTTGTGTCTAAACTGACAAAGAGAATAAACCAATGCTGACAGGAAGTAACACTTTTTCTCTCAATACAGGGGGTCCATTTGGAGAAGATTTTCCCGGTAAGAACGCCCAAGAGTGAAATTTCCCTTTTCATCCCAGATAAGGGGAGAATGTTTACATTTCCATGCTTTAAAACTAATTTAAACATGAATTCATATATATTATTTATTACCCTTGCAGAAACCAAGGCAACAAGGCGGACCTCAGTGTTGGCTATTCGTAAGTGTGTAATATTCTCTAACACATCACACAGTTTTATTAGTACGCACGTACAAAACCTAATTTGTGCGATTCCCTCCTCCAACAGAAATAACAGCGATGTGAGCTGGAACCCCAAACAATGCTGTCCATCCCCAAAGACGTGAGTTCAAACAACACTAACTATTTGAAATAACCTTCCATTTTGTTTCATTTAGTTGTACATTAATTATGTGCTTCTTTTTTTGTCTAGCAACCGGAGACCTCCTCACTCTGACAGGCTTTTGGTTAGTATTGTGTAACGTCATGCTTCTTATATCTGGAGAAGAGTTAGTTATCTTATCTAACCATTGGGGAAAAACACCAACCAATAATTCTATCACAGGATTTTAAACCATCTTCACCTTTTTTTAAACACATTAGGGAGCCACGGAGAACCACTTTGAGACTGTATATTTAATTAAAATGTTCTTCATATGTGTTGCAGGTTGACGATACGTATGCCAACTGTTGAGTCCTTCAAGACATCTAGGATCTAGGAAGCCGTATGTTCTTCCAGGACTATGTCGCTGTTTTTATTTTATATTCATAAACATATTTTGCAGTACATATATCTTTTTTGTGTGTTGGGGGGCAGGGTTGGTCTTTCACTTTAACTTAATTTACTTAATTTAGAGAAAGTGTATCTGCTGGCAATTCACTGAATTTGTACATCAGGTAAATAATAACAATAAATACTAATTTTGACTGATTGCAGAGTGCAAAGTGATTAATTTCTTCTTAACAATTGTGAAAAATGTAGTTGTTAGTAGGAGTCTACAACTATTGTCTTACAATCACTATGAGAACCAGGAACGTCTCAGACTTCTAGGCTTCAGGAAATGCATTTTTGCACACACACCACCACTTTATGAGGGGTGATTTTCCGTATATGGAACATGGATCCACTACTGAAAAAGAAATGCATGTATTTTACCATCACATTATCATGTTATCAATCTGATGTTTTGTCTGCTGCCGGATCAAGTGGCCCAACAGGAGGCTGCACAATTATCATTGAAATTATAATAATAAAAAGCATTTAAAGAGTGTATAAACTTGATGTTGTAAACACTGATGCCACTAGATGGAGATACATTGTTCCTAGATGAACAACATGAATTTGCATAAGCCATCAGTGGGTCAGTTGATCACACATGTCTGCTTTTTACTATGACTTCCTTGCAAACTTTTTATGTCACATTATATACAGATTAGCAGTTATCAGTCATTTGTTTATGTCACAGTTGGACAATTCTTTATATCTGTGCAATTTTTACCAGCTGATATCAAGGACCATCATTACATTATTAGATATCAATATCAATATCTGGTGAAAGCTTTAAAAACTCTAGAAAGGCTAAATGTCCACATTGTAAGTTATGTAACAGTACAACAAATGGCTTTTATGTATGCCAGGAGCTACAGCCATTAGGTGTTTGATTCTGGCCTGCTAGGCATATCTCATCACAGGATCAATGAATTTCTTAATAGGTTTTGCAGAACAATTTAACTATATATATCTAGGTATAAGAATTCTACACATGCTTCATAAAGAGTTTCGGCTGTTTGGTCCAATCATTTTGGAGAAGAAAAACCCAAGAAGGATTAAAAAAATAACTGAAAGTTGCCTCTTGCTGCTGAAATGTAAATGTTTGCAGCCTCCAAGTGTTCACTACAAAAGCCATATTTGACATATTATAAACTGTAAAACTTCATGGATGCCTTCAACCTCAAATAATACTGTGGTCCTGAAACAGACCTGGAGTTCAGAGCAATTACTAACTTTTCCTTGTACCAACTTTTATGGTTTTATGGTGCAAATGTCTATTAGAGTCAAAAAATATTTAAAGCACTCACAGTAAATCCAGAAATACAATCAAAATACACAACACATTTTAAGAAATGTATTTATTGAGACTTCTATTACGCAGTAACATCAACATATACTTGACAATTAAATAGGTTAAATTATTTTATAATTTACATGTTTATTTTACATTCCTCGTGTTTTACCAAAGGAAAAAGCTGTTGCTGTCTGTTCACGACAAAAGTGTCACCGTAGTCAATAGGGATACAAAAAGCAAATAGGCCAGTTTAATACTATATGAGGCAAGGGATAAATAGGAAATCACATTGTTACTAAATTCGATATGTATGCTTTGCATTGAACTTTCTCACTCATCGGTTGAAAGGATAAGGGCAGGGGGGTGAGCACTATGAGGCCATGCAAAGATAATAAGATAAAGAGTCATCTCAAAGTGTTATGAGAGCAGGCCCAGAGACAGCAGCGGTGCCATGAGGAGCAGAAGGCCAGCGCTGGTGCTGCTGGCGCTGTTGCAAAGGTCCCCCTCACAGCAGCTGCTATGCCCTTGGCACATCTCCTTAGGGACACACCCCCTCACCGGAATAGGTTGACCATCCACAGTCACTGAAAGAACAACAAAGAATAATGTTAGAAATCAAGTTGGATTGCATCTATTATAATCACCTCGCATTGCTCTGCGCAGATTAATGTGTGGAACAGGGTTAGATTTCAATGCTGCGGGCCTGTTACCTGACGCTGAGTAACAGAATTCCTGATTCCCTGTGCAGGCTAGGGGCGAGGTGCACGTTTGTCCTACACACGATAAGCACGATTTACCATTTGGTTGAGATCGGACAGGTTCTGAAACATAAAACATTGTTCACATTAGGGGATGTAAAACGGGGCTAAGAGGTGACTGCAATGCACTTTTTTTATTTGGTGTTTTTTTCAAAACTTTTGTAAAGAATTATGTTTTTAGAGAAGGTAATTTTATATCGAGACTATTTCTGGCACAATATCAAAGCAGTTGTGCATCATGGAACAGGTTATTTTCCTCAAACTGGTTTGTCTTCTCTAACACAATCCTCTTCAAACATGTTGTTTTATATTCTGATAGATGAACTGGCATCAACAATCAATACATACATCTGAAAAATGCAACAACCACCATTTAAAAAAAAAACATTTTTAACAACTTTTGCAACAATAAGCCAATTTTAAATGAGAACAGCTCTCAAAGAACATTCTGAAATACCAACAGTGAATACAAGTAAATTACCAGGGGCATTTGCGGAGTTGCAGAGTTTGGTGGTGCAACACAAGCTGGAAAATAAGGTTTCGACGACCCCGAGGTTCATTGAGCGATTAACACACCGTTCAGGCAAAGCACAACCTTTAAAGTTGACATCGGACATCTTTGAGCCATCTGCAATCGAGAGGAAGTGTTATCTTTGTAAATAAAGCAGAATCCCACAAAGCAGTTTCCAAATTAAAAAAGGCACCAAAATTACCTGAATAGGAGACGTGTCTTTCTGAACTGCAGCTCTGTCCGGAGGGGCATTCTATTTTTGAATTTGTGCAGCCGCTACCTTGTGAACAATGACATTCCAGGCTGTATGCTGAGAAAACAAAAAACACACAGAAAAGTCCAAATAAATATCCAACAACTCTTTTACAAGGGATGGACAAAATCATTTTAACACCACAGCAACAGAAATAAAAAAGTGTGATGTTGGATGTCAAGCACAGTTCTGACTTGTTTGTTTTACATCTACAATAAAAAAGAAAATAATAATAAGAGAGATAAGATAAGATAGTACTTTATTGATCCCAATTTTGGAAATGTTTGTGTTGTAATCTGTGTACAAACAGGTAATGAACAAAGAATATAGCAATAACGTGCAAATCGAACCAACAGGAAAATAGCTAGTAGTAAATAGACAGACACAATTGTTATATGGCATGTAACAAGTGGCCCAAGTATGTTAAAAACAATAGTAAAGGTAAGTGAGGTAAAAGAAAAAATACAAAAATAAAACTATAATACTTGTTTTTTTCTAAGAATAATTTAAAAAAAAAGCTTAAATGGATAAACAAACGTACCTTGATGGAGAAGCACAGTCCCAAGGATTAGTGTAATGAGATGCATTTTGTGATGGCAGGGTAAATCTGACTGTGACTCTAGGTTGGATGTGGTATGGCATTAAGTAGTTCTCATGAGAAGGAGTTGACTTCAAGACCACACCTTCATTCTTGCTATAGAGTCACTAACTGTGATTTCATAAAGGGATCCACCCAGTGAATTATGTTTACTTTTAGCTCGCACACAATGAGAGAAACCAACCCTAATACAAAAAGGAGCTCACTACCATTGTTGTGTCAGCTGACTAATTGCCACTGACGGAACTGTGACTGTGAAGAATTCCATGGACGTACATGCCTTATATTACCAATTAAATTAGGCAATATTGATGTAACATTTGTAATAAAGTGGTGGTCTCATTTAGATTTAGATAGAAAAGACATACCTAATGACAGTGACTGGCCTAATCTCTGAATAATGTATTTAAGTTTATTATCGTATGAATACAGTTGTAATAATAAGAATAATTATAATTATGATAATAATAAGCGTAATGAGTGGAAATCTCTTTTATCTTTGTGGCCATCTTAGAGTGTTTCATCAGTGCAACACTGAAGATAAACTTTAGATTCCTTGCTGATATTAACTAAAGGAAACATATACAGTGAAAAAAGCAGTGAACCAGGACAGCTTTGCTGAGCAACAAAGAAGGGCATTACATTCTTGATGCATGATCTCCAGTAGTAACAACAAAATGTCTTCCTCAAAGGAGTCAGTTAACGCCCAAATCAGCTTAAGAACCATAGATGAAACATGTCACACTAGAATTTTGTTTTGAAACATTTTTATTGATGTAAAGAAACACAAATAAAAAAAACAGAAATATATATATATTTCCATCTCAGAAAAACGTCATCAATAAGCCAAAACTCCAAAAACAACATCACACAATGTAATTATGCCTTGCAAATAAAAACATATGAAGTGTTGCTTAAAACGTGGTATTCTCTTTCTTTCGTACTGCGGAACATGGCAGGGATACACAACTTTCTGACAGAACACCAAGAGTCCGCAGGATTTTATGCCACAAGTCTGCATGAATCACAAATGTCCAAGATTCTAGTTTCGCTCCTGCCTCCTGTTGGCCTTCAACTGCAGAGTCACAATTCCATTTACCGAAGTATCAGACAAAACAGCTTGCAACAGCTAGTGTATAAAGCAGCAGTCTGACCCCGGTGTTAGCACAGCAGGCGGCTGTACTCAGAGAGGGCCGAGGACTTCTTCACCCCGTCCCAGATACGAGCTGCATAGTGAAACCTGTAAAAACAAAACAGGTTTATACAACGTTTTTGAGATGTCATATTTTAGCATTTTAGCACTATCTCTCAGATTTCTTTTTGCATAAAATGGAAATAAAAGTGACGTTTGCACCGGCATATAATACAACACACATACACAAAACACAACAGTTAGGCATCCTAACGTATAACGGTGACTAGGTTGCAGTCTTGTATATTCATATATTTTGATCTTCTCTCAGAAGCACGATGGTAGCTGGGCAAAAGTGACTAATGTTCAAAGAGATTTTAGTAAGAAACTCAAGCTGAAACACTAAAAGTAAAAGGGACAGTTCCCCTTGATCCCCAGTGGAAATTCTATATTTGGCTGGTAAATAATTAAACAGCATACCAAAACCCCTCCTCTCACAGGCTATGCTGTCAACTTTGAATTAAAGTTGATTATGCCAAAAAACAAACAGATCCCCATTAGATATAACACCCTTCATTTCTATGTTTGTGTTGTGTTTATTTGCTGTTTGATCTCTCTTTTTTATTACTAGTGTACACATGAGTTATCTTGAACAATAGGGGAGAAAAGAGGAATGTGATGTTTACCAGTTCTTCTCAGTGAGGATGGTGTGTGACAGCTGACATCGGGGCATGGCTAGTATTTGGCTGCGGAGTTTTGAGACCATGGTGGGGAAGGCAGGATGTCCTTTGTACCCCGGCAGCAGTGAGAAGAGCGGGTATGTTCCCGTCCCTGAACACAGTACAGCCATCAATTCACATTTTACACAATTTAAAAAGGACAACTGAGTTTTGCTTTATGTGAAGAGAAATTCTCTCTAACCTGCTTTAGTCAGATTATCCTCCCCATCATTCTCCTGCATAGGAAGGAGGAACATGTTGACTTCAGTAGTCAGATAGTCCTGCCCCAAGCCAGGGAAGATATTGCAGTCCAGCATGGACAAAGTTCCTTAAAACAAAGCACAGACAATGGCATGAGTCCAGTTGTGACATCACTAAAATCTCTTAACAAAATACTGCCATTTTTTCTATGCACCCTGGTTATCAAATGATTTGCAAAAAAGCTGTAGAAGTCATTTGTGAAAGTTGCCTTGAAGGAAACATGTTGTTGTTTTACATAACCCTTGACTAAGGTGAAATGCGTCTTGGATGTCACTGGTATGGTACGTAGCATGGTATGGCCTCCTTTTTTACCAACCCCTTTGTATCTCTTAAATGTATTCTACTTGCATGAACATGTGAAACTGATTTTTATGTGAAGATGATTTTTCTGTCTTGAGAAGGGGCCTCATTTATAAAAGTTTCATACGCCCAAAAGACAGCGTACATCCCTTCAAAAATATATTTATCAAAAATACTACCGTGGGATAGTTTGACCCATGCTTAAGAACATAAACTGGAAAAAATAAGAAACTGCAACACCAATGGCAAAGAATGAAAGGACAGAAAGGGTTTGAAATGGATCTACCATTGTGTAAACACATTTAAATATTACCTCTGGTGCAAAATCAGATACAAAAACGTGTGTTTGATAGTGCCTCAGTGAACCAAAACATAGTTGAGGATAATAATACAATCAATAAGATCTATTTTATAAGTATTAAACAATGTTAACATGTTATGGAATGCATTCCAATACAAATAAATAATAATGTAAAGAGTATAGGACAAATTAGGTTTAAATCGACACTGTTTTCTATACCTGTTCGAGGATTTACAATTGCGTGGTCTTTGTTATTATATAGCCTATCATATTGTGTTATAAATTCGGCAATTATTTGTAGGTTTTTGAATTCGTTATGTTTTGATGTTTTAAGTGTTTTTAAGCTGAAACCCAAATAAAGTTATTTTTTAGCCTCGCGCCTGCGTGTGGAAGTGACGCGTCGCACACAACAAGGTATGTCAACAAAAACACGATGTGATTGTCACCTCTCATGTCACATCACATACTTTATTGCCTCTACTTGTTGATGGAGTCGCTGAAAGAGTGTGGACGCGCCCTGGGTGCAGGACACGGTTTACGCACACTGCTTATTGACGTGCACGTAATCTGAGTCACCTGTCTGTCTGCACCTGTCTCCACCTGTCTTCCTGTTCTTACGCTCCTCAGATTGGCCGATCCTTCCTGACAGTCCGCCATTACTGTCACACCGTGTCCATCTATCAACCTACATTCTTGTCTCTTTTCACATTGTGTAATTTTTTAGCTGTTTTGGCGGCATTTGTTACGATCGTCCTTATGCAAAAAGTATAAATAAATATAAATAAGGGATGTTTCCATTACTATTTATAGACAGTAGTGGGCGTGACGAAATGCTCGCAAAGGTGCGCCGCATGTTGATTGTGTTTTATAAAGGGCGTGTGTGCACACTGAGTTATAATAATAATTGTGTACGTGAGCACTTTCTTTGTTTCCTCTATACACAACAGTGTGACGTGAATCCTACCATAGTTTTATAAAAGAGGCCCCAGGACTGACTGCAAAAAATAGATCTTATATCTGGAACCTTCCTGGATGAATACAAAATGATACACCAATCCCCTTAGACATTAAACATGATTTGCATCTAAAAACAACAATTGCATGCATATTAGCAGAATATTCTTGTAGTTTTGAACCTTTGTATTTGAGATGAGAGTGGGCCATTAATTTGTCCACCACCATATGCATGTTATTCAGATTCCTTGGGCAGAAATCGTCCCGTCTGGCCTTATTCTGGAGGAACACTGCAAGAGGGAGGAATTTAAAGAAGTTGATTTTGATATCTTTAAACCTGGTTATTTGAGAATGTGTTTCTGTATTAAGAGTTCACCTATATGAGGATAGTACTCTGCTCCATCATCATTGCCCGATGAGCCAGTGCTGTCATGACTTGCAGATGGAGTCGAAGGCTTCAGCATCTCCGCAGTCTGAAGAAACCTATGTCCAAACATAACATTACACTTCCTGCTCGGTATCAACATCTGCATTCATGAGACATTGAGATATAATATATACTCAATATTTGCTAAGTGTAAGACATTGCAGCTGTGGTATTGTTTCTTGAATACACATCTCATGTGTCTAACGCCGACTGCTTAAGCTTCATATTAGCAGCAGATTCACTTTGGGATTATGATTTGCCCAATCACAAGTGAACTTGGTTCCCTATCATTTACACTGTATATCTTTAGACATTATATATATATTTAGACAGAATTTATTTTCATGTTTTTTTAGTACCTTTTGGCTGCCACCACACTGAAGACAGCAATTGTTTTTAACCAGTAATACATTTCAGTTATTTGAAATTAGGAAATGATACACACAGGGAAAGGGTATATTTATTAAATTATAACTTTTTTTTAACTTTAATACTTTTTAATGCATGTAACATATGTAACATTAAGCTGTCTGTGGCTCTTTTTCTGCTGTAACAACGTACATGTCCCCTCTGTGGGACTAATAAAGGTATTCTGATTCTGATTCTGATATCCATGAAGAAGATTAATTCATTTTTGAAACACTAAAATGATTGACTAAGTTTGCTCTCATGTCTGTAACCTGAACACATATTGGCGTATTCGACAATATAAGAACAAGTTAGACCGGTCCCCAAGTCATTGTCAACAGGCATTTGTTGACTTAGAGAACAAATAACAGATTGAACACTATTTAACTCATGACAAAGCAAAGCACAAATGTCCTCTCAAGATACAAGGGGGGGGGGGGGGGGGCAGTAACAGATCTATTGTAATACGCAAAAACCTACCTGTAGAGGTTTAAGTCAGTGAACCAGTCTTGAACCACAATGACGACATGGCAAACTGTAAAGAGGAAGGCTGCGATCTGAAGAGACTGTGGACAGAGTATGCAGAGAGTATGAATGTGGTTGCATGTGAATGGGTGTAGTGCATCACGAATAATTGAAATTATATCAAAATGGCAGAATGGATCAGTGCAATATTCAATTTGGTAAATGTGAAATATATAAAAGCATCTGACTGAAGTATGCCGGAGCTGCAAAGAAGTCTCGGTCTACAACGTGTATTCTACCGACTCCAAAATCAAACCATAATCATTGTAGATAATGATAAAAGAATGTGATGTGTGGAAAATAATTAAAATGGAAACTAAACAACTGTAATTATTTCAGCTTTATTCTTTCACCATTGTGTCTCTTACACCACTCTCTTGCATTATCTTATTCCTATTTGTTCTTTTACTATTTTTATTTATTTATATGTAAAAAATATATTGTGTGTTGCACTGTAGGAAGTGCCAGGGCACTCCAGTGTAGCTATTGTGCTACATGACAATAACATCCTTTGAAACTTTGAAGCATTCATTATAGGTTACTAGAGGTTGTTTCTTTCACACATAAACAAGAAGATGTTTAACCCAATGCCATCTGCACGCCAGCCACTGACCTGCATCTCAACATATGTGTGGGGGAGGTTGTACTCCGGGGGCAGCTTCCGATCGTTGTTGATGAGGTGGTCGAGAATCGATGGGCTGAGCATTGGCTGAAGGAACACAGGAAGAATTCAAACACACCCCATCAATCATCAACCAAAACAGTTTTTAACCGTTTTTTTCTTCAACTTCTTTGAATTCCAAGGTTACATTTCAATTTACACAGGATTTGCTAAAACTCAGACAGCAAAGAGAAAAATCCACTGATCCAAATCAATTCATTTATACCTGTGTATCCAGGAAGATGACTCTCTCCTGTGTGATAAAGAAATCGATGCCTGTGCTCTGGTTTCCTCCTCTTTCCTTGATTTCTTGAGTCTGGGCTCTGAATACATAACCCCTGTGCAAACAAACATAAATCACACCACATCATTGCATTTGTTAATCCTAAAGAACAGAATGGATAACAACTGCAATAAACAAATACATACATTACATTACATGTTACTTGTTAGACGCTTTTATCCAAAGCGACTTACATACTCAATACTGTGGGCAATCCCCACAGGAGCAATTTGGGGTGAAGTGTCTTGCCCAGGGACACAACGACATGCTAACTGCAGTGGGGTTTGAACCTGTGACCCCCTGATCTGAACACCAACGCACTAACCCACTGCGCCACACGCCTACATTGGCTGTAAAGGTCTGAATAAATGTTTTGGTTACTACTTCCACTTTTCTTTAAACAGATAGTATTTGATTGCATGGTTATCTGGTCTGTGGACTTATAGTGCCAAACACTGAACTGATTTTCAAACAAAACGATTAGCTTGAACACTCCACTTGACTCTCAACAGGCCGATGGGCTTGTATATATCACCCCTGTGTGTTCAGAAAGAGTAACTTCACTTTGTAAGTACAGCTTTAAAATACGAAGTTATAATGGGAAGAATAAAGATGTAAATATCAATCTCTTACTACTGATTTGTGTTCGTTTTTAGTCTGTTTATATTATTTAAATTGTGGATGGGTAAGCATAAGCTGCTTCGGTTCCAACTGAAGAATATGAAAAGTAAATAAATCCTATATTAAAGGTGGGGTAGGTAATTTTGGAGAAACCAGCTCGAGTGCGCTAAAATTTGAAAATACACAGCCGGAATAAATCTGCCACTTCCTTACAGAGCCCCTCCTCCAACACACACGAACGCGCACATGACCACTGAGGGCACGAGATAAGTCTGTGCACAGATGGAAGGCTGACAGGCAGGTAGGCCATCCAGTTATTTTAGCCGGGCCGGCTAAAATAATTGGTCGTGCTTTTTACAGTAGTACGGCTTCCACAGATGACATTTTTTTATGGATTTTTTGTCAAAGCACTTAAGATATTCATTGCTATCGGGATGTTAAGAGCATTCCATGGAATATAACAAAAATTGTATCTCGAGCCGGTTTCTCAAACTTACCTACCCCACCTTTAATGTGAACTAACCCTAACCCTAACCCCACCTTTAAGCATATATTTGTATTAAACCCCAAACATATTCTCAAAGCACTTAAATTCCTTTTTTGATATATTTAACTAGTGGGGTCACTGGTGTGTGTGTGTGTGTGTGTGTGTGTGTGTGTGTGTGTGTGTGTGTGTGTGTGTGTGTGTGTGTGTGTGTGTGTGTGTGTGTGTGTGTGTGTGTGTGTGTGTGTGTGTGTGTGTGTGTGTGTGTGTGTGTGCTACCATAACTGTGTGTGTATTTGTATGTATAACAAAAAAATGCAGGTGTATAACAGAGTGGAAAACTGAATGGTCCATCTTCTTCTTCTTTATTTAAACAGTGTGTTGTAGTTCCTTATATCAGGAAAGTGAAATGCGATCTGGGGGTCTTTACTGTAACAGCAGCATTAATAATACTACTTGGAAAAGTTAAAGAAGTATCTGTTTCAACTTTAAATTAATATATCATTTGCACATGAACAAGCTTGAGCTCATTGTTGGTGTTACAAAAAACCTCACCTTTGATCTTCCTCAGGAGTGTTGGCAGATAATAGCGACATGATCGTAGATTTCCCACTTCCCTGCAGGCCGATGACTCCCACCACCAACATATCTGTCTGGTCCCTCAGATACTACAACACAACATCCTTTGAGTTCATACACCATCATATATTTACATTAGTATTACATTATTTAATAAAATGGCTCCGCAATCAACTAAATTAATTACACAACTCACCTCCATGGCACTGTCACACCAATTCATCTGATCATCCACAAGCTTAATGCTGTGCTTCATCTTCTCCGGAGGGAGGAGTTTAGACTGGCCCACCATAGCTGAAAGTCAAATAAAATATTCAAGATCTACTTTTTTATTCTCAGCCAACATTTCCAGGAGGAAAAAGGTTATTTTTGTGAAATCTACAAAAGCTCACGGTCCACAGCGCTGCTCGTTGCAGAAGCACCCATTCCTCTGTTTTGGATCTGGTACACGGGCTGGGTGGGTCGCTGCCCCTCCCTCTCCATCTTGGAGGGTCCCGGACCAGTGGGCTGGGCTGCTGCTTCAGGAGGAGTGCCCGGCTTCCCTCCATCGTCCCTGGCTTTCATGAGCATGATGGGCTTCTCCAGGACAGGAGCTCCGCTGACAGGCGTATTCTGTGACGGCTTTGCCTTGAAAGGATCCCACAACAACAACAAAAGTAAATTGATGGCAGAAGACCTTCATACATACAACTTGTATTTTGTCATTATTTACTTTTTAACTGCAACTCATTTGCTTCGTATTAATGTGTGTTAATACCTTACATTGCCTTGTATACACAGTACATGTCTGCGAAATGAATCAAAGTAAAAGTACTTGTTTTATCCATCTCAAATTCAATAACATGATGTTTGATTTCACATTTCGCAGTCACTCTGCATATTCTTCTTCAAGCTGACAATCCTGCGTGCAAAGGACAAGTCAAACAAACTAAAACGTGCTGATTTAGTTATGGTTTGTCCTACTGTCTGTGTTCAAGAAGGATAATAACAATAAGAGCATTTTATTAAAAAAGCTAACGTACCCTTTCCCCAGGGGGTTTTGCAAGAATGATGGGGGTCTTCTGAATGAGTGGGCCTGGTGGATCCTCGCTCCCATCCTGAAAAGATACATTAAAGTGAATCACTATTCTGAAGTCCAACAGTTACACCAGCGGTCTGCAGTGTTTATCACATGCTGCCTACCCTTCGTTCCCTTGGTTGATATTCTCGATCCCGACTTGGACCGGACAGGTTTTGTCCCGGAGCTCCAACATCTCTGTCTCCGCGGCGGCGCCTCCTCCGGCGGCCCTGCCCGTACATCCCGGGCTGACTGTGGCCGGACTCCGACATGTCGCTGCTCCCCTGGTTCAATATCACAACTGATGCAAACGGTGGCTAACGGTGGGAACCCAGTCCAAGCAAAGGCGAGCAAACAATAAGATTTTAGTGAAAACAATTTACAAATTACAAATCTGCTGTTAGCTAACAATCGTTTGACAATAACTGGAATATATGTTTGAAGACGTGTATAGATGTCATCTATTAGATGACATCGTTAAAGCTCAATTCAGAACACTTGTTTATGGTTTTACGGTTTACTTTAGCGTTTCGCTACTGCGCTTGTTTTAAGTATTCGGCGTTGGCCGGTGAGGGACGACGTTGAACCGGTTCTTGATTGTCAACGCGCTGAGATAAACTCCACCCGCCTAGAATATTTTTTGTTGCCAAACAAACGCACCTTGTCCGTCTGGTAAATGAAGTCGTCATGAAACATCGTTACAAAACGTAGTTCCGCCACTTTAGGGATTATTTTAACGTATAACCCAGTGCAACCTCGTTTTATTTCATTATATATAAATGATAGGACATTACATTGTTCTTGTTTAACCTTAATGCATTCAGAAATATATGTATGTAAGAAAACAATAGTAGCGTTGCTCCAATTTAAAATAAACGTTAGACCCCCATGCTGATTTAAAAAAAAGTCTAAAATATATTTGAGGTAATCTAGTCATAACGTTTTTGCTCAAGATATGTAAAGTAATAATTCCCCGAAGTTTGGAGAAATATTGGAACAAAACTTTTGGTGCATTCTGGGAGGTAGAGGCGCCCCTCTTCCGGTTTTAGCCGGATATGGATTGAGGAGTTTGTGAGGACGCCATCAACAATATTTTGGATGTCTTCAAATGTTGAATTTGAGGAATTATTCTTTTTTGTAATGTACTCTAAACGTATCTGTATTATCCCGCCTGTACATATGGATTAGCTTGAGACACGACCTCAACTATTACATACAAGTTGACGTTATCGCTAGATTTTTTACATTTGATAAGATACGTTCACTGTCTTTGACCAACCCAGCGCCATATAGAGAGAATTCTATTATATTCTAAATTCTTTTATACGGCTCTGGACCAACCGTTACCTTCTTTTTTTGGATTTATGAAACTATTTCAAATGTTCACTGGGCTGCAGGCGGCATTGTTTGGTCCAACACTTGCGGACGGAGGTAAGTAACGTTACCACTTAGTACAGGGGTAATATACAGAGTTTTCTTTTTACATACGTGGTAAACGGGGCATTGTTCGGAAGTCATACAAGACTCAAAAAAGTTACCCAATACCCACACTAGAATAATAACTAATAATTATTGTATTCACTTGTTGTTATAGTTCGTTTTTTGGATGTAATCATTTCTGTTTAACAGTGAGACAATTGTATACCTGTAAAACTTTTAGCACCTCTTGAAATTCCTTTTTGTGTTTTTACCTTAAAATGATTCATAATTTCAATGATATAACAATAGCATAACACAAAGACAATGCCATAAGAGAATCCACAGCCTTCCACATGCTAGCATCTCAGTGAGGCTGTACTCTTTTTATATAGTTCTTTCAGCTCTTTGACACACATTGAATAGCTGACATTTGGCTACATCTTTATCTAAATAAATTACTTCATAATGATAATTATTAATAATAATAATATAAAAATTCCTGTCTACTGTGATGCCTATAGGAGTCTTTCCCAAACTTGTTTTTTAAGCGCTTCTGTCCTTTCTGATTTTGCAGACCACCTAGAAGTTATCCTCGACCAGTTCCTCATGTCTGAAGACTCGAGCAGCAAGGAAGGATGGAGTGGGATGATTCAAAAACAAAGGAAAAATGTTGGGAATGTGGCAAACAATTTAGCGAATTGACTACGTTGATCTCCCACTACAAAAGCCACAACATCAAAGCCACCTGCCACATCTGCAAGGTTAATTTCCGACGCTTGACATCACTCTCCATGCACCTGGATAATGTTCACTTGCCAGCCCGCTGCGAAAAGTGTCATGAGGGTTTCAGTTCTGTGTGGGAATTGAACACACATGCAGAGGCTAGCTGCTTGGGATTTAAAAAAACTCCCTCTTTGATTTCTTCGGTCATACATCCGAGTCAGAATAGTGACAACTTTCCTAACAACGAGACTGCACAGCAAATCACAAAGTTAGGGCTGTGGGACTCACTGTCAAAATCGAGGCCTAAACAACAAATTGAGATGAAGCCTGAGATGGCTGGGAAACATGAAAACAGTATAGAGTATACAATAGTTGAAGATGATGAAAACATTGAAATAGATTGCGAGAAAGCAGATGATTCATCAAGCACTGCATCTGATGAAGAAGTGAAGACACACTTTAATCCTTCAGAGTTGTGTCCAGAGGATCTCGAGTCAGATGGTGATTCAAGTTCTACTGATGGTTCTAGTGGCTCTTCTCATAGTCTGGACAAATCCATGTGTGAGGCATGTGGTAGAGGGCCATACCGTGTAATGAAGCTCCATTTGCTGCACTGTAGTGGTGTAAAGGCAACATATCAGTGTACAGTTTGCAAGAAGCTTTGTACAAGTGGGGCTTATCTTAAAGAACACCACATGCCTTTGTATTCCTGTGTAGTCTGTGGCCAGGTTTTCCCCCACAAGAACTCCTTCCAGCATTTCCAGTGTCCCAAGGGAACCAAATTGGGTCTACTCCTCTTTTGTGTTGATTCAATGCCGCAAGTGTGTAAGATATGCAAATCCTTTTTTAGATCTGAGGAGAGCCTGTTAAACCACATCACCAAAGTTCACACATCAGTGGTCAGCACCAAGGTGTGCATTATAACCGATGCATCAGCGTTGACAGATAAAAAGGTTTCACTAGGTGGCACGCAAGCCATAAGTAGTCAACATGTTGTCCACCAGGTGAATGGGAAATTCTGTGATGTACAGACCCGGGCTGGTTTTCTCTACGCTATTCCTTCCTCTTCATTGACCTCCTCCTCTAGCACAGGTACACCTCTGTCTACACATGTGTTTGTCCCATTGGGTGCCACTGCTGCTTCCCACCCTGTCACCCCACCATCGACCACCATTGTGGGCATTTTTAAGAACACCAGCCAGGACATAGCTTTGAAGAAACGTATGACCAAGGGCTGGCGCTCCAAGGCCTCCTACCCCTGCAGGCAGTGTGGGGCCATCTTGCGGCAGCCCTCCTTCATCATCAGCCACCGCTACCTCCACAGAGGCCTGCGCTCACACCGGTGCCCCTGCGGCCGAGCCTTCAAGCACCGGCTGCACCTGCTGCGGCACTGCGTTCAGCACGCGGAGACCGTGAGCTACATCTGTGTCGGCTGCGGGGACACTTTCACAGGGGCCAAACTCTTAGCTGAGCACATGAAGGGCAAGTCTCAGAAGAGTCACCGTTCTGGACGTACTCGGAAATGTAAAGTTAAGAAAAAGTGCAGACTGCCTTTTACATGTGACTGCGGACAGCTCTTTTTTAGGCCTTCGGCTTACATGTGGCACCAGATTAAAAACAGGACAAAAGCGAAACGATTAAAGAAGCCGGTGAAATGACGAAGCAGACACATCCCTGGTTCCTCCATTGCTTTGATCAACTTACTCCTTTCTAGCTTTCTGCACAACACTTTAGAACAACAGTGTTGAATCAAAAGGGATGTATCTTTTTAAGACAAAATCAAAGCAAACTCACATACATTTGTAATGGCTTTTATTGATAAGCATGTCCTGGATGGTTGTTTACATGTTTTCACCATGTGCAAATGATACATAGTAAATAATGTTAGAAACAAGTTATTGTGACCATACACCAGTTTATACTCTGGAGAGAGAGTTCATCCAGTTTTGCTATTTTTTTTTTTCTTCATAAAGTTTCACATTTGCCAGTGAGTTTCTGAGTCCTCTTGATTTGTTTTCACTGCAGATAATTCACATGTTGTGTGAGACATTGTACAGGCCTTGGTATTCAGGTTGAAAATAGCATTTGACCTTTTTTATGGTTGTTATATAATCTTCATGTCAACTGTCCTCAGTATTATCTATGTTTACTGAAATAATATCCACTAGATGGAGCTGGTGGGGTACTGAAGGCAAACAAGCATGTTTTTCCTGCATCAGATGATTACAACACAAAACATACACATTCATCCAAGAGTTTTAATGGACTACTGTTTAAGTAGTCAATGATTTTCAGATTGAAATAAAGTTCCCACAATCCTTGATTGAAGTGTCTTCTCTTGTTTGAGCATACCATTAATTCACAGACCATTTGAGGGGGTTAGAAGAAAGCAGAACAATACGGATTGGAAGAGATTATAATATAATAACCTGCAAACAATATTTAACCATGAAACTATCGGCTAATACAAGAGGACCTGCCGGAGATTTCTTTACAAAACTGATTAGGCTTACACTGTAAAACATTGCAAGAAATTTAGAATAAAATTAACAAAAAAGAAAATGTATCTTATTCCACAGGAATAAGGCAGTGAAACTTTACAAATAGCAGTTAAGAGAGCAGGCTCTGTGAAGGCTCTCCAAAGTCCTTGTTTGAGATTAACTCAGTTCTTTGTACACTGTCACACATAACAGCTGAAAACAACAGATTTACAAAAATGCACTGTGATTCTCCCACAGTGAATGGAAGTCCTATTTGAATCTGTATAATTGTACAGACTCATTGTGCTGTGCACTCAGCTCAGGGCCAGAAGAGATGGTTAGAAAGTAGTCTTCCAAGTTGTTCAGTAAGTTAAGAGTCTGGAGCAGCTCCAGGTGGAGAGGAGTCACTGTCTCACTTTCATGTATACTAGATGAAAACACTGATATGACAATATACTGTCTTCCGATATAATTGTTTGTTGAAACGTCACCTGCAAAAAAAAAAGGAAAATAAATTATACTAATAGTTTTCATTATGCAGCTCAGATACCACACCATACACTTTGTTGGTAGCAGATCAGTTCCACGTCGCTGGCAGCTCTCCTGTTAGTGTTGTTTACCTGATCTCTGTGTTGCGGTGGCGTAGGACATGAGACAACATCTCTGAGGTTTGCTGGAAGCAGCGACTCAGCTCGTCCAGCTTCTGCTCCATGGAGAGGATCCGCTGCTCCAGCTCCCGGTATGAGTTATTCCAATTGGCACTGAGGTCGCACATGATCATCTGCATCTATTAAAAATGGCCACACAGAACAGATTGAAAGATTCTTGAACTACAGCCATAAATCGAATATTGTGTAGAGACACATTTTAAATGAACGTTGTATATTTATAGGGAAGCTTCGACCGATAGTGTCAGACTTGAAACCATCCCAGTGCTGCCAACTTAGAAAGTGTGAGACTCCATTTGACACTTCCTTAAGAAACTTGGGTTTAAGAAAAAGACGCCAACATCAACAAATCTGGTTACAAAGGCTGCACTTAATCTGGAAAAACAATATATCATATGAATCAATCAGGAAATTTTAAAGTGCACCAATTAAACATTAGTGCTCACTGGGCAACATCTTTAAATCTTGGATTTATTCCACATGGAAAAGTCTTCTGGGCCTGTGAATTCCTGACACAAATGACTCCTGAGACATTTTATATAGTTCTTTTTAACGAGCATTTAATGTGTCTGAACATCTAGCAATAAACAGCAGATTGCAAAATACTGCATAAATGTAAGTAGTGAGTGTTTTATGGGGATATTTGTCATCATTAGCCCTTTTGATAAAACATTCCTGTGACAGCTGTCGATTACCTTCGGGAGGTCCACCATCTCACTGACGTAATCCCTCAGCTTTTTTCGTTTCAGGCGTAAATGCCTAAATCTGTGCAGAAAGAAAGGTTGATAGATCTCAGTCATGTGTTTGAAAAATAATGGAAATGAAATTATATAAATGTATTAAATGTTTCATTGAAACACAGAAAAGTAAAACAGTTGAAAGTAATTTCATGTTGTAGTGCAGGCAGATGTATGTATAGATTAAACAGAAGCCAATATGATACAACTAGCAGAGATAAAAGCTCCAATGAGTTCTGACGTGCACATCTACAGAGGGAACTTCCCTATTTTTGGACAAACAGAAAAGTCCTGGCACAACACAAAACCCCTGATTTGTGGAGCAGAGGAATATGCTGACAACTGTGTATTACACCTCCCAACAACATACAGGAGTCATGCTGTGATTGTTAAATAGCTATAAAACATTTGCTGGGAGTTTTTTTGACATATAAAGGTGGAAAAGGGCTAAATTTAGTATCTGGCGTGTCTGGGATAGACGAAACCCCACCAAAAATGGAAACCAATATTGCAACCAAGCAGTCATTCTCTGCAGGTATTGGAGTAATTGTCTCATTATGATGTTCCCAATTTAAAAATGTGGATGCCTAACACTCCTACTTTCCACAGTGTATTTATTTATAGTAACTCTGCCCGGTGTTAAGCAGGAAGTACAACCCCTTCCCTTCTAGGCAAACACACACTTACACACTGTTGTCAGGATAATGAGGCATGCAATCACACTTGTGGACTTCCTGCACTTGTTCCTAGAGATAACCAAAAGACACAACTGTGTGCAAATAATGACATCTCCTCATTTTAAATCTCTCAATAAGTGTCTCGGAAGGTTGTGTACATGTTGTGTATTACTTTAAATAGTAAATAACTAAATGTAAGTAAAACGTAAACATTTGTATTAGTCAGTTATTTGTCAGCATGTCTACAAAGCTTGCCTTGAAACCTGTATATTGGAAGGGTGCACCCTTGTTCACACATGCCCTGCCCTCATGAGGCCAACAAATCTAATTATTAATCTGAATAACACATTACAAATTGTGACTCTGTGAGAAAGCACCAGTTAATGACCCGTGATATACCCAACCCACCACTAACTTACATTTCTCGCCCAGACACACACCCAGACATCCTGCCTGGAGCTACTTCTCCTTGCAATACAGTAACTCACACTCTGATGGCTTCCAGAAGGCATCTCTGGTGTCTTCGGTGCTCACCACGGTTGCCCTTTGTCAGGTTTGCGCGGTGCAGAAGCCAGCATTCCCTCAGCACGTTAGCAGCTGCGTGGCGGATCTGGTGAAGAGACAGAAACATCAAACAGGGTTATAAGACCATCAAGGTAAAGTCACTTAAACTTGCAAGCTTGATTGAAATCAGCACACGGTGCTTATTGTGTTTTTTTCTTCGTCAGAATCTGGTTCATATCAATCATTTAAGCACAGGAAGTAAAAGTATGAGTCATCTGAAGCAGCTGATTCAATCCAGATAGTCTTTCCTGTTGAGCTGAATTGCACTATGATTATTATTTCAGATAAAACACAACTTTGAAGGTCTTGTATTCCCAAAAAAGCTTGAATACAAGAATTTGAACAGGCCACTCAAGAGACAAGAAGTGAGGTTTCACCTTTTTGCACCTTTCTCTTTGATTCTATTCACGTCTGTTTGTCTTCCTGCCCAAATCACCGTTAGTGCCCTGTGATGATGTCACTCGGGCCCTGTTGTGAGGGTTATTAATAGGGGCTGTCAGTGTCTGCATCCAGATGTCTTCCCTTGTTCCCATCAGCGTAAATCTGGACTTCACCAGATAGCTCAGGATGCACACACTCACACACACACACACACACACACACACACACACACACACACACACACACACACACACACACACACACACACACACACACACGCACACACACGCACACACAAGCAAGCAAGGCATAAAGATGCACCTTGTGACAGGATGCAGCCAGTGGGAGAAAGGAAATGGTTGTATCCTCCGAAGCAGTGCACCTACAGTCCGACACTGCCTTACAGTTTGGTGAGAAGCTGTAGTACTGAACACAGAGCACTTCCTAAGATAGGAACTATATCAATCAATTCACATTATGTATAGTCCTACGCCACTTTGCTGGCTTTATGACACTGTTTCCTCAAGCGTTTATTTATCAGACACCTCCTTCTTCCTAATAGTAAGCAATCCTGAATCCTGTCCAAGCCACTTCCACACACACACACACGCACTCACAAACACACACGTACGTAAACTCAACCGGCTTCCTGCCCATCGCTGCACAGTCCTGAACTGACACAAGTTTCTTTCCTGACAGAGATCAGATGATTTCCTCTGTTTAACGCCTTGAAAATGCTTCAAAGGGGTTAGGTTTCCCCCCCTATTTTCCCACACTATTCTGTCCTCTGGTGTCTCTTATTTAAGGAAAAAAAAATCATTCAATAAGATTAGAAAACCAAAACATGCCTACGACACGGAAAGTAGTGATGCTTCCCTCCTGACTTCTCCATACTTTGTCATTCATCTTATTTGTCTTGCAGTAACCTCGGATGTAGGGGAGGGGGGCAGTAGAAGTAGAAGTTTGTTAAATTATTAGATCAATATTATAACAAAAATAAGAGCTACTGTTTTCAAGTTGAAGAGCTCCTGTTGGAGAACCTTTTTTCACACATGATATACATTTTCTTCATATCTTTATGTTTTTGTCACAGATGTAAGTGAGCCTGTGATGTCATGAGGTTTTATTTTATCCAACGTTTGATTGTAAATTCTCCACAGAGAATTGTTGAATTCTGCTCCATGGTTGTTTTGTTTTTTATCAAACCACCAGTATTGTAAACGTTAAAGCCAATTCTATGCAAATAACATATTTTAAATGACTGACGAGCATTTTCCAAAGCATAACAAAGTGTTTTACTTATTTTTATTGAGTTATGTTATTGTTGTCTGGCTTTGCAGAACAGATCTATCAAATCATTCTGCACTACCACAGCTGCATTAACACGCAATGTTCCAGTGACCTCGACAAAAATAAATAGTGTTCATTGTGATGGATTTCCTAACCTAAACACGTTTCAAGTTTCTGCAGGCTGATTTTTAAACAGAAAAATAAAGGGAAGATAGATTAAAAAATCTAAAATATTACAGCACACTTTGAAGTTGGAAGTCAATTATATGCATACATTGTAGTAAATGGGCCAAAACATAAAAGAAAGATACTGGTATCTGAAGAAGAAGAAACAGCAAGTGAAAATGGGCCATGTACTTACATTCAAAAGTCACATTTGTGTTGTTGCAGAGAATAATTCAGAAATTGGTGATTGTTCTTCATATATAAACTATGACAATTAAACACACATTTGCTGTATAACTTCACTTACCCTTTTAGAGATCTGGAAGTCCAGCATGAAGAAGTGCACATGTTTCTCTCCTTT